TACAGCGCGAACCGAAAACATGATTAAAGATTCTCCGATGTGGGAGAAAATGGATTTCTGATACGCGTAATGCCACCCTATTTGGAACTATTACGCGTGAGTCCCCAAGTAAGCCCTCTATATCCATTCAGCCCCTGCTGGAAATATATTTACTAGATCAGAAGGTACTTACTTGCGACTTGGCACCCACGAATGCCGTACCGGGTGGCATGTAAACAAGGAGAAGAGAGAATCTTTGTATAATTCGCTTATTTTTTCCTCAGATATACTAATTTCGCATATTTCTCGCATAGACATGTATATATAAATTTATTTATAATTAATACATATTGTGGCAAGAAACTATACCTATAAATCACGTCTATTACGTAAAGCGTGAAAATTATTTTCGGTCATTGTCGACGGTTTCCGCGGAGGAAAGAACATCGGCGCGTTATACGGTACGGCGAGAAAAATCGCTAATTGGTACATGGAAAATATAAACAAAACTGCCGTGCGAATGCCGATGATTTACTGCAAGGTTTGATTGAATTCATTCGACTCTGTTTACCCGCTTGCTGCCTCGTACAACTCTCGCCCTTCGCGGGCCTTCGATGTTTAGCTTTTTTTTTTATTTATTTATACCGTTGATTTTTTCCTCACCCGCTCGTTCATCCGCTCCGACGTTGCAAAGTTGCTCGCTGTAAAACTGGGAAACAGCGAACGATACGAACGTTTCCTGCTACGAGCCACCACTCCTCCCCTGTCATCCCCGTTGCAACCTCCAATCCTCACTTCGCCGCCTACTGCTTCGTTTTATTCTATTTGATTCGAGAAAATGGAAAGGTATGCGAGCGGAGGGTAGACTAGGTATGATTTCGCAATCGAACCTCTATATATATTTCCTCCCGTGCCAATTCGTTAGCGAACGCGAACAGTCGGAAGACTTTAAACAAACTGCTTTCAAATGATTTTAACTTCAAATCACCAATGTTAGTATATTAAAACAATAATTTCTTTTCGTGTATAAATAACATTTTTGATGAAAATTATATATCTTTGTAATAACGCATAATATATTCTAATTACATTTGAAAGTAAAATTTAATAAATTATTGATGAAATTTGCTAGCTTATATAGTATTAATTTAAATAAAAATAAATAAAATTTTTTGTTTTATACAACTATTACAATAACTAATAAATTAAATTACATCGAAATAATTAAAAACAGCTAAAATATGTATATTCATATTAATGATATATTTTTTTAAACAAGAACTTATATATACACAAGTATTTTGCAATTGAAACATAAGGCAGATAAGTTGCATTAATGTTTCAATGGTGTGAAGTGTATCTATTGGGTGCCCTGAGCGGCGATTCGGAATAGATTTTTCCGAAGGAGGCTGACACGAGCTTGCGAAGGCCGCCAACGGAAGAGAAAAATCTAATAGACTATCGGAATCGAATTTGATCCCCTGTAAGAAACTAGCCCTTCTCCTTGCACGCGTTCGCGTTACGACACCATCGATACTGCCGCCCCATCGAGCCCGGAATGAAATCCAGTTCGCATTTGAATCAGTCGGTAACGCAATCCATTAGCCCCTAACAGCCAATACTTCGAGTACGCGCGGAAGGAAACGACCTCGTGTAAGGGAAAAAAGAAAGAGGAATAAAGTGGCACGGCGATGGCGCGACGGGAGCGTCGTAAATGATTAGTGTTGCCGATGAACGAATCCCATAAAAAAAAAGCGAAGATCTATAGCTCACCTATCTTTCCTTTGCCGATCCTGGCAAGCGCGCCCTTCCTCCCTCTTCATAGAACTCTCCCGCGTAAGTAGAGTCATTTTGTTAGCGTCAAATTCTGAAAGCGGATCGCCCGATTTCTTTGCTGTGGAAGTGGCGGCCGCGAAACGTTGATGGGAATATTTCAATTACCTCGGACTTTTCATTCAGAAATGTATAATTTCTTTTTATCAAATTTTTATTACAGTTGTATTAAATTTTTAAAAGTGTCTTCCCTCTTTCTCTTTTTTCAATTTTATTTCTCCGTAGTTTGTATTTGATTAGTAGGTATGTAAGACGCTTTGACAAGATATTTAAATAGTTTGAAAATATACATAAGTCTGTATCAAACGATCAGAGCAAACGGGATGTGGATGTTCTGCCGTTGGTGCATTTTATTAAATGACGGTGACACACGATTTCAATATAGATACAAAGTGAAACGTTCTCGATTCGAAGGCGGTTACCGACTCGTTTCCGTTGTCGTCGGCGTCGTTAAAGGGGCGTCTTCGCGCCATTCTCGCAATATCGTAGGTGCAAGTACGGGTCGATGGTATTCCTATCTGTAAACGACTAGAGGTAGCGTTGTCGAGCGACGCCTCAGGCGCGACGTAGATATCGTGTTTAGAGCAAGATCCACGGCCGCGATAAGCCAAAGTACAATGCTTTGAATACCCATCCAGCATCGCGATAACATCTTAACGTTCTCTAAGAGTAAACGAAATTAAATTCGCGCGAGCGCGCAGAAACCCGCGCGCGCGCGCGCGACATTAGACTGAACTCTCTCTCGGATATCTATCTACCTAAGTTCCACGACTGGTTGCGAAAACGCGTGTAACGCGAGATCGATACATTTCTTTTCCTTTCTCTTTCCGTATCGCCGAATTTCCCATCCTCCCGTACGCCGCGCCGTCTCGCCCTTCGTCCTTCGCTTCACTCAGCCGATGGTTCTCTTCCACACTCCCGCGGTGAATACGTTTCGTTTTTTTACCTTTCACTTTCGAGTTTTATGTATTTTTAGCAAGTGGATTAGATACTTTCGACGACCGTCGTGGATAACAATAAAAATATTGTCTCAGTTCAAAGTCTCATATCGTGATTAAAATCTTCTTTGATGTTTCTCAAAGAAATCATTTGATATCTTGTATCTTCTCTTACATTTCAGCCACGCCAGGTACGCGTTCAACACGAAAATTACGCTAAATAAAAAATAATTAAAATCTGTTTACTGGAGCAAGAAGTATCAGTCGTGATCTTTCCGCAATTTTGGCAATCTCTGCATGAGAGACAAAAAATAGAAGACAAAAAGGCGTTATTCTAAGGTATGCGTTTGATTTTTCCATGAAGTCCCCAGTACCCATGGACGCACTCTTCGGGGAGAATGACAATGGCGTCCCATGGGACAAAAAGCCTACCAGCTACGTAGGAAACTACCCCTCTTTCTTGCCAGTGTCGTCGTCGACGTCGTCTCGGCCCTCCTGATTGTTTCCTACGCGTTTCCTTCGCTTTCTCGATCCTTCTCGGTCTGGCATTCAACTACCTGATCTCTAAACTCTCCTCTCGCTCCTCAGTCAACTCCTCCCATCTCTGTAAGTACAAACCAATAGGTGAGATGCGTCTCAAAAAAAAAAAAAATTCCTGAAATTCAATATTCTCGGCGTTTTGCATAATTCATGAAAATTGAGCCGACGGCTTTTTGGTAGAATTCTCTCGCATATATATGTATTTTCGTGTCCCAACATCCTATATTATATGCGACTCCTACATAATAAAGTATTTAATATGTCATTATTTTTAGAGATATGTGCTTATTAATCTCATTTCTGGGTTATAATTAATAGTGAAGAATATATTATGTAGAATATAAATTTTTCTCAGTAATTGTATGTACTTTAATATACCAAATTGCATTAAAATATAATTTTGTATTTAATATTTTCAAGAATTATGCGATCTTATATCACGTTTCAGATATATTTACAAAAATAATTATAAGATATAAAATAGAAAAAAACGTATTATAGTATTTTCATCGTAAAAATGTATTACGAGCATGTCCTTTGACGTTGTGACAGGACAATGAAGTAGCCGCATATTTTGCGCGGTACACAATGCCGTACGCGGGCCTAAAGGTCGAGAAGCACGTAGAGAGTCGGGAGTTTAATCTAGAGAAATACTGAATAATAGAGGGGTGTGGAACGGGCCTCGCGATTGGCTTATACAATATTCAGTCTTGCTTTCCGGCCAAGTTCGCGTTCTAATTAAGTTCCCGGCGTTGAAGAGCGTTAAGCACCTTGTCAACCGTTTAACTCTGGTCCCCTCTGTGTACTTGCAGATTCTTCCTCAAGTTCTTTCTCAAGTGTAACCAAAACTGCCTGAAGAACGCCGGCAATCCACGTGATATGAGACGCTTCCAGGTAAGTTGCCCGTGCTCGTATAGTCTATCTATCTTAAATATAAATGCACGATTCATGTTTGATGAATTCGATTTTGTTTCTATACATTAAGAATTTCCGTAAAATTTTTAGAATTTAAAATATTTATCAAGACGAATACATCTGCATGACTCAGGATTAATGGATTCGTCTATAGATACGAAAACAATCTCATATTCATAACGTAATTTATCACATGGCGCGATTTACGGCTCTGCTTGAGATACAGTTAATCGCTTCCGGCTTTCCACCCACTTGATTCAAAGACGTTCCGAGTCGTGTCGCAATGCTGAAATGCACACTACGCGAGACACTTCCGTCATTCGAGTCACGATTCGCGAAATTATAGGGGCGGACAGACGGAGACGAGAACGCCGAAATTCCGCGCCGCAACATCGTGCGACGCCTATCGTCACAGGGAGCATTGTTCTTCGCGTAAAATTTCCGTGTGTTTACCGCACTTTACTATTATTATTCCATATATCTACACTAAAGTCAATCAACTTCTATAAACGAATAAAGACGATGGTTTCTGATTAGATAACGATTTCTAGACGGCCTCGGCATAATTCAAAAGTCGCGACAATTAACTCTCGGCGCAATCTAATCCCCAACTCACTCTCATATTCGTCCCTTATCCTTTCCAACATTACCACTCTCGCTTACCGAAGATATACCTGCATCTATCCCTCTTTCCGTTTCCCTTCCGCCAAAACGAAAAACAGAATTAAAAAATAAATTATCAAAGAACGGCGGTGAAAGAACCCCAACGGTTCATCCTTTACGTGACTCATCTCTTTTTGTATTCGACCCTTTTTAGTTTTCTCTTTTTCACGCGGTCGGCACAACGACAAACTGAAGATTAGAATACTCATCGTACTCCCGAATTTGTTTCTGAATTGCTTACTGCCGAAAGTTGTGAATTAAAATTTTAGTGCAGTCTTCACGGAAATCTCTCTGCCGCCGTGAGGCAAGCGGAAGAGCGTAGGTTATCGTCGCTTTACTCTAAGTTGGCGGTGGTGTTACTCGCCGAGTAATATCACCGGCACGCGAGAAAGTTGCGAAGTTGCGAAGGACAAAACTTTCGGGCATTTTCCAGCCGCTCGCCCGATTTTATAAACGTTCTTCTTGCTTCACCGCGAAAATCTTTTCAACGCCTCGTAGCGTGCGCGGAGAACGGCGTAAACGCTTAAGCAAGTAATTTTGTTCCGGTTGTTAGACATCTCTAATAAATAATTTACGTTGTGTGTTTTATTGTTATAATTGTGAGGAAGGATAATCGTATATCTTAATACGACTATATTCCTGTACTTGCGCGATTATATCGACGTCATACGTCGTACGTGCAAGTTGCGAATTGCATGCCGCGGTATCCAGTGCGGCAAATCGAGTTGTGCATGCTCGTTCACGGAAGATATGATGAACTTGGTTCGATATATGACGCGCATGAGAGAAATGCAGTATTATTCACGGTAGCGTCTATTGCGCGGCGCATTTTTCTACGCGCTATTAAGTCAGATATAAACAGATACAAACATAAATTTTACGGAAGTACATAACATTTTAATTTAGTAATTATTTTTCAAATATTTATTGAATTCAAACATTTATCATGCCGCGTTTAACTTCATGTTTCTCAAAGAGTCTCACATGTTCTGGAGTCTGTCGTTGAATAATTTGCATGAAAATGTTTTCGAATATAAGAACTTGAAATTTTATCAACACATAAATGTTTGTAGAGGATAATTTTATTATTAGTTTATTACATTTGTACATTAATTGTCACTGTCTTACATTATCTTTCATCGGTAAATTTCCATTCTGCCTAACAGGTGGTTATATCTACGCAAGTGGGAGTGGAAGGACCATTACTAGCGGTTTCGGACAATATGTTCGTCCACAACAACAGCAAGCACGGGCGCAGAGCGAAACGCTTGGACCCCAGTGATCCTGGCGAGTATAATAGTAAGTATAATCCATAAATATTATCAATTAATCAGTATCGTCGAAGAGATAATTTATGCGGAGCGGCGCATCGATAACGCCTGCATATTTAATGCGCGAAACTGCACGAGCATTTACACGATAATTCGATTTGCCCGTAAACACCAATTGGCCCGCCGTACAGTTTTTCGTTATTTAATTTTGCAGTCAGCTGCTATATATTCCCCGACAGTAATTTGCAGCCGGCCTTCGCCGTGCTAACAAAGCACTCGCAGAAAATATGATAATTAATTAACGGACGATAATTAAAAAGCCCGGTGCGCACATTAAACGTCCTCATTTATTCAACCCATCGATTTTTCACGGATGATATGATTCACGGCGCGTAAGCGCTTTCAACGCTTGTCGATCAAAATCGACTTCCCGAGCGATTCACGTTTCGAGGCATTGCCAATTCGAATGCTCGCGGCGTGTTGTTTCTCTCGTGCGGCGCCCCTTCCGGCGAGGGCGGGGGGGGGGGGGGGGGGGGGGGGGGTCAGTTTTCTTCGAGATCGGCATAACGACTCGGGAGCCGGGGCGGCGGGGCGGAATCGTAAGAGGGTTGCAGGAGGGCGCACCGGTAGAATGGGATATATGGAGTCATAGGGCAATTCAGCAAAGTTTGGCGTCGGCCGCGCATACAAACGGCTGATATCGCACGGCCACCCCTCCCCCCTTTCCCCCCTCGTCCCTGCTCGCTCCTCTCTCGCGCAGGCTTCTTCCTCCGTCTTTTCTTCCTACCTATGCCAAGACAAGATGTAAATCAATGGGATGCGGGGAAAACGAAGGATCCACGGCTCCGTTCCGCGCTCCTTGTTCCTCGGTCTTATTTCCCTCCACTCTGCGCTCGCTCGAAATTCGCCCGAGTGCCTGTCCCCCCTCCCCCTTCTTCTCGCCGCGGGTTCCAAGATTCTCGTCTCCACCCGCGTCAGTTTCTTCTTTTTACCTGGTTGGCTGCCGCGCGGAGCGGCAAAGACACAGAAAGAAAGAGAGCGGAATTGGCCCGCTTCTCTCATCTCGATCTCTGCTTCTCTCATTCAGTTTCCGCCTCTGTCGTTCTCGGCGCTCTCCACTTCCCCGTGGTGGTTGCCGCGGTGCGTTGGTTTGTGAATGCTAAGTTTAAGCTATCTCGCGTCCCCCGCCGCCGCCCTCCTAGAGCCTCCGCGCGACGCCAATGAAGGTACCAACACATCCACTCTTTCCAAATCCCCCCGCAAGCTATCCCCCGAAACGCCGAAACGAGCATACCAATGAGACAGGAAACACGAGAGAAAGGGGAAGAACGTAGAACGCCGCGCCGGTATCTCGTGGATTTTGCTGTCATTGTGAACGAATTCTCTCGGTTGCTGTACAAATCAAATCTTGATTGTCCATGAAATTTGAAACGCTTGCTTACGATCTATCTTTCCCGATACGCCGTTTTTACAACGCGTTTCTTATTTGACAAAAACGTTGTTGCTATTTTCATTTTACGCTTCATACCTTGCTTCCTTTTTTAAATTTAATTTGTGACACGAAAGAGAAGAAAGGATTATAAATTTTGTAAAAATTCCAAACTCGTTTCATATAACGGAGTATAGGATGCTATTTTTGTTATATCAGATATATTAAAAGTAACAAGCAAAAAATTTTATCACACATTCGACATTCAATGAAAAACGATATGGAAAAGTATTCGCCGTTCTGGCTGAATATTAAAGATATAATTGCGCGACATTGTCGTAATGATACTTGCTTGCGCCGGGATAAAACCCGGGTTTTTTCTGGCAAATTTCTCGAGTCTTTACCACGGCGAACGAAGTTATCGCGCGATCTCGCAGTGATCAAAGGGAATCGGGCCGAACGTGTCGGAGTACGGCTCTTCGACTTCGACGATAGTTCGGTGGCAAACGAGGGGGGCCGGGAGGGTTGGGGAATAACACCCCTTACCATTCAGTGGTGCGGAGGATTTTATTTATTCCGGGTTGGTACGCTTGTTCCTTGGCCTCCTCCACTGAATCCCTCTTTTCAACCCTCCACCTCTTCTCCTCCTCCTCCTCCTCCTCTCTACCACCCTCGCGGCGGCCCGCACCACGCCGCTCGACAATTCTCTACCAGGATGGTTGCCAACACGGCCGGCTCTCTTTAACGACTTTCTCGTACATTGAACGCAATAAATACCAATGTCCCATTGAGGAATTCCCATTTACGTAGGGACCACACTCTTGCAACTCTTTAACGCTTCCGCCGTAATGGTCACTTGTTGACTTCATTTTTGTCCGATGAATAAAATTGTGCAAAGTTATGTAATCTCTCCAATTGTATCATATGGTACAATTTTATTGCAAATTTTTATTCTAGAATTTGTATTTGAAGTATTTCGTCGATTTTACACTTCATTGATGCGACAGTTATTTTATTATTAACCTGAAGACAATCGCAAAAGTGGATAACCGTTAATTAAGATAACTGCGAAGAAATATCTTGCCTCTCGACAATGTCTAAAGAATATTCTTTAAATACGGTCAGATATAAACAACGTCTCGCGATCTTTCAAGCCGCCGAGATTTATCGATGTGACGGCACATAAGCACTCGAAGTGGAAAGTGTTTGAGCATCACTGAGAGCAATATACCATGATGTCAGCCACTCTGCCGTGGCTCCGCTTCGCCCAGGGTCGGTGCCGGGGGTGGCTTGGCTTCGCCGGGGTACAAAATGATATCATTGGGTTATAAATTCCAAGCAGAGACACACCGGCGGCCCGATCGTCCCCTCCCCTTTCTTCTTGTTACAACCCTTCTCCGAGCATCTCCGACTCTCTCTTCCTCATACTCTCTCTCTCTCTCTCTTTCTCTCGCCGCCTCATTCTCTATCCGCCGTTCTCCTTCATAGTTTCTCTTTCATTTTCCGCCTCTTTCCCACTTTCACGAGTCCCACGACCTCGAAAACTTGCACGCCGGAAAATATATCTGCCACTCGGCCTCAACCGAATAAACAGAATATTCAGATAATTTTCCATATCCTATTTCTCTCTTCCCTCTCGTCAGTCGCGAGTTATTTTCAAGATACCGCTTGGTTTTGTCTAATTCTCGACTTGTAATTTTTTTATTTTGTTACTCTTAATTTTCTTCATTATGGGAAAACTGATCGTTTAACGCTTTTAAAGACTCAATGTGATTGTCTCTCAAGCTGACAGGAAATTTCAACGCATTTCACGCAAATATGAATCCAATTAAATGCTAAGCTAATGAAATTAAGTATAGAAAATATAGTAGTATTTCTATGTTATGAACCCTAGGTTTATATCCGCCGATACCTCTCCAAACGCCGTGCATAAAGGCGATATCGCCTAATGAAGGTTGGACGTCGGGTGGATCCACCGTCATAATCATCGGTGAAAATTTCTTCGACGGATTGCAGGTGGTTTTCGGATCGATGCTAGTTTGGAGCGAGGTCAGTAACATTGGAAATTTCTAGCACTAATTTTGCTGCGGTAAATATAAAAAAATATATTCGTTTTTTTCATTACAGTTTATCACTCCACACGCAATCAAGGTGCAGGCACCAGCGCGGCAAATACCCGGCGTCGTCGACGTCACGTTACATTACAAAAGCAAACAATTCTGTAAAGGAGCGCCTGGCAGATTTGTCTATGTTTGTAAGTACGAAGAGAAGGTCTGGTACCTATCGCGAGAGATCTACGAGAATAATAATTATCGCGGAGAGATTATGAGATTACGTCGGACCCTGCCCGATCACGCAGTAAGAGCGAACGAACCTTTGCTGAATTTTCCAGCGGTAAACGAACCCACGATCGACTACGGCTTCCAAAGGTTACAGAAACTCGTACCGCGGCACCCCGGTGACCCTGAAAAGCTTCCGAAGGAGATAGTATTGAAGAGGGCGGCGGATCTAGCGGAAGCCATTTACAGTATGCCCAAGAGCGGAAACATGGGCATCGCGGGGGCACCGAGAAGTCCGGGTTCAGTGCACGCACCCGCACCTCCCACATCCAGTTCGGCAACGGCATTTAATTCGTATACGGGGCAACTTGCAGTGACGGTGCAGGAAAATGGTAGCGCGGCAAAATGGACAGACGGTACGTACGATGTGTGTATGTGTGTTTCTCTGCAATGTAGACGATACTCTCGCTCATACCATCTTCATAGATATTAGATGTTTATTGTATAATTTAAAAAGTATATATACATATAAAGTGCCTCGCGATCTCTTCTCTAGATAGAGACTCGTACCAATCAAGACGCAGATGTCCCTGAGTTAAATTTATTAGGCAACCACTCACGACCTGAAATACTGACGAGTTCGTCTGACGGGCAGGTTTCTATTTCTAGACGGTAGTTCCGTGACGACAGGAGCTGCTGCTGACGGTGGAGGCGGCGGCGGCGGTGGCGGCGGCAGTGGCGGCAGCGGTGGTAGTGTCGGAGCCAACGTCGGCGGCAACGCCGACGCCTACAGACAAAGCAGCAGCGCAAGTCCACGTGGTGTCGTAACCGGTGGTGGTTATTGCGGTAGTTCAGCCAGCACACCACACAGTCACAGTACTAACGGAAGTTATTCCGTCGCCAATCCGTACACCGGCAGCCCGACTCTCTACACCTCGCGTAAGTCGGCTCTCTCTTTCTCTTTCTCTATATGCTCCCGCAGACGACCCATGTCTGTGCAGTGTTACTGCAAAATCCAAGTTGTGCCGGGATAAAGTGTAACTTTTTTTTTTTACATTCGGCAACTTTTACAATTCGTGTGTTGTAAAATCGATTAAAACGATAACAGCATAAAGGCGTAAATCATATTGCAGTGCGATAAAGAAAATAGTACCAATACTACAAATGCTGAATGATGCAAGATTTAAAATTATTCGTTAAATCATTAGCCTTGTTATATATTTATATATACTTAACAAACATTTTATTATAATATGTACTTTATGACCAAAGTTTTTTTTTTTCAAAAACGTCAATTTCTTCGGCACAACTGTAAACGAAGATACCTAATACTCATATTTGTTCACGTATCCAGCACGCATGCCCTTCTTCTATTCTATTTAACCTCTCGATGCACGCACTTATGATTTTCCCTTATGTGGAATTTTCGTTTTAGCGCACGAACAATATGGCATATTCTATACATCCGGGGACGGGAGTGCGTTCGCCCCCGTAGTACGACCACCGACCACCTCAGTCCCACCGCACTGGCCCACACAGCACCACCTCGCCACAGCCGCCCAGTAACCGCTAACCGTCCACCATCACCACCAACACCACCATCATCACCACCACCATCACCCTATGCACTGCGATTAAAGAGTTATGAGAGACGACATTTGAGAATGTACGTACACTTATTTACAACGCGACAGTAATCTTAATCTAATTGCCAATTTTTAACTTTTAAGTGTTCGCTTTTTTCATGATATTCTTTCACGCTACAAAGCTTTCTGTAATTAGTTTAATAAATTACAAATATTGCGATCGTAGCATCAGGAGAAAATAATTTTGTTGGAATGAAATTGTATATGTGTGTGGGTGTATGTGTAGCACTAACATGATACGTGTACGTGTATATCATACAACAATCGAAAAATGGCTAGAATCTTTTCTGTGCACATATTCTCAATTTATATCTGCGAAATTTTGATATATGCTGTTCACTACCCTGCTGCATCTATCTCTCCGCACGGGTTATGAGAAGGCTTCACAAATCTTCGCCGCCGATCGCACATTTTTAGATCGCCAGTCGTTCGAGACTTAAAAGCTTCAATTAAATAGAATTATTAAAACGGATTATTTATTAAATAAACAGATGAATGTATAATGGTCCTGTAAGAATCGAGCGATTATTTCTAATTTTGTTATAGAATTAACAATTAGATATTTCTCTCTTTACTTCTCACATGAATACTTTATCATTGCTTTATGAGACATCCTGTTTTATTTAATCAATTTTATTATTATAAATACTAAGTTGTTATGATTTCCGCTATTTATTTTTTATTTATTGATTGTGTGATAGCGTTTAAGCAATATCGCACTACTAATGTTATAACCGACAGTGGGCATGTTGCAGGACTAGGAGAGGTGGTTGGATCACCGTTCAACATGAACCCATTTATGTTGCCCACCTGCAATCAAGGATATTCAGCCGCTGCCAGTCCGCTGCTTTCGTCAAACGGCAAATAGTGCTACGAGATGTAAACTCCGACGAGAATGACGTGGCTCGTGGCCTTCGCGGAGATACTGTACGATCCAGGGAATTAGTATATGCGACCGCATCTGAATAATTATCCGGATAACCACCGCATAAACGATATCGGATAATGATCGCATCGGCGTACGTACATTGCCTTCGCGAATTCGACTTGCTTGTGGCTCTGTTTCTCTTCTGCTCCTTTTTGCGGTGGAAAAAGGAAAAAAGAGCCGCACGTGGCATCATCATTTTCGTCGGAGTTAAAGTCGACAATTTCGTAAGGAATCAGGCAAAACAGTGCAAAAATCTAAGACAACTATCTTGCAACGATCACCGATGATCGCATTAGTTAAGAAACGATACATATCGAACAACGAGAAGGTGTTTTTCTATAAATCTAACAGCTCGGTCAAAAGATGGCTCGAATGATTATTAAAACATATATCTAAAAACAATTGTCTTATTTTATAACAGTTCCAATAATTTGTATAGTTGATATTAAATTCTTATATAAATATTAATTTTGGTCAATCTTCGATATCTTCTATTGATATTAGAAAATATGGGTAATAGAATTTGCGGCATTTCCTGTTATACTATTTCCCTTTTATCCCATGTGTAATTGGATTCGTTAATTATGATTTGTCAATGTAAAAATTACTTCAAAAATAATTATGACGATAGATATTTTTCTTGTTATTATTAATATAATAGTGATACGCTTCCTGTGTATTTGATACTGTTGACGAGCAATATTTATCACAGAATACTTTAAATCTGTATTTTAGGCAGAATACAAATTTAATGAAACGAGAGAGCCAATCGCATGAACCGAACGAGAAAGCTAAGATGGTATCAAATATTTTATATCATTTGAACTACAGAGGCTGATAAGGATCGAAAGAAATTGACACCACTCGACGGACATATCGCTTATTAATGAATAACAGATACCATAGTTTTAGAGAGCATTTTCGACTTCGAAATTTTAACTTCCTACCCCTACAATTTATGACTAACCAATATCGCCTAGTTAGCGTAAACGTGTAACGTAATTTGTAAAATATCTGTAAATATTGTTGCGATGTACAAAAAGAAAACTATTTCCAGGAATCCAACGAAACAATATTGACGTCACTCTAGAGTGAAAATTATTATACATAGATGTAAATAAACGTAGGGTGTACGTAGCGCATTCGTATAATTGCGTCGGCGCCATCCAATTTTTTAACGTAAATCGCGATCGGGAATGCACGATTTTACCGTCTCCATATCCATTTCGCGTGGACGAAAAATTGAATTTGTTGCAATCCGTTCCATTCCTCGCTTTAAAGCATATAATCTAGATAAATGATCAGTGTCTGGCACAACGGAATCAGGCCAAAAACGTTAAAAAGTTGGATCGCGAACGCGACCTGTATAAAACGTATATAGTTGATTTGGATCGTTTGATAAGCCGGCCCGAAACAATCTCATACAACTCACGAAAGTATACGAAGTATATACCGGATTGAAATTCCCAAGTTAGTCCAAAACTTTTGCAGCGGTTTTACGAGCGTAGATCGTATCGTTTTTGTCAAAACAAAAGTACCGTTAAAAAGTTATTATTATGAAGAGTTCCTTTTTGCATATCGAGAGACTTGGTATGTACTTTTCTTCTAGGAAGTGCATTCTTCGTCCCGGAGCCGAGCGCTCTGTGATCTTGTGATGTTGATTATATATATATAAATATATATATGTATATTGATTGTACTTTGGTTCAATCACGTCACGTCATCTTTTACAAGACGCGTTGTTCTTGTACGCACGCGAAGACACGATACGCACACTCGCGCGTATAAACACACTCGTCGGTGTATATTGAAATAAATTAAACTTACTTTTTGAGAATTAAAAATCTTGATGATAGAAAAGTTTCTATGTTCTATTCTTTGCCCATGTCATCTTTAACTACAGTAGCAGCTGTGTGTAACCAATGTAAGTATTTTATTTTGACTTCACTCTTTGAAATAAAAGAATTTATATAAGTAATTTTTATTAGATTATTATGATATACACGTTTTATTTTATATTTATTGAAAAATTATTTAAATAATGAAACTATCGCTCTTACGCAATAGTTAAATCAGTAGAATAGCAGACAATATAACATGTTACAAAATTGTTGATGGAATTATTGGAGTTACCTAATGATTTATTACTATAAAAACAATAATTAAAAGATTATGTCTTCTCGATATGTATCAAATATGTCAGAAGAATTATCCCCAATGTCATAAGATCAAATCTGCGAAAGAAAGAAAACAGAAATTATGCATAATATGTTGATCGGACTCAGCTGGGAACCTATTTGTCCCAAGAGAAAGAAAGAGAATAGGCCGGGATCGACAAATAGCGAAACAGGATCTGAAGGACCACTCCGGAGCGATTAGTTCACATGGTGTCCCATTACATCCTGCCTGCAAACGCTGGCGTGTATGATGCATGTATTGTGAGGCTGTTTGTGTTATTAGATTTAGATTGGCTGGCACGTGGCAGGGGTGGCGCGTGCCGCATTGCAAACGTTACAACGTGGGCACAATACAAAATCGTTTTTCTTCAAATACTGGTTTCTTTGGCTTCCCATAGAGGGGTATCGATTTTCACTTGCACACGGCTAACATGCTGTTACAATAACGCGCTAATTTCTCTGGTATATAATTTATTAAAAGAATACGTACATGTTTCAACATACGTACATGTACACAAACTGTATATCCGTTATAGTATGTATAATAACTGTACATATTTTGCACAGTTTCTATTCAGTTCAAGTCTATCATTTAACATTGAAATTAAAAGTAAAAAGTTAGATTTTTATTGAAAACATTTGAAGATATTTTATATCTTTACAGAGAGAAATGTATAAGAACATAAATAAACAAGTTTCTACGTCGCAAAATCAAAGCGAGTAAAATAAAAATTATAATGCGTGATTACTTTTCAGTTTATTAAGATAAAGTATATCATTTAGTCACTGATGTTAGCTTTGTGTGTGATAGTGTTACAATAATAATAATTGCATCATCAATACTTAACAATAACAATGAAGGCTTGAACTTTGGTTAATCGATAATCTTGGTCCCTCGGTTGTTTCAACCCTTACTTTGCACAAAAAGATACAGCTGTATTTTCAAATCGCTGCGGTCAGCTTAATTTTTTGTGCTTTCATCACGTGCCATGCTCTTTCATAAAACCTAACATGACGCATCACAGGCACGATCCAATTAATTTGAATAAAAAGAACAAAAAGTGTGCAATTTTAAAAGAAGTCTACACTTTTTTTAGAAAATTATACATATTATATATATTTTTTTTTAATTTGTCAAGAACAATGCGAGCGGACATTTATTATCTTGAATTTCAAAAGATTTATATATAAATGGAGTATTACAATCTATGTAAAATAAAAACTATATATATAGTAAATTATAAATCTTCTGAAGTATAATAAGCTCCAATCTTTTTTAGTTGTCTGACTATCTATATGTAGTTATCGCGCCATGCGCTGTCTTTACCATTATTATGTTATCGAGGCTGAGCTCGGGTTGCGTGTCAAAGGGGATGCACATTCGGGCAAGCTGGGATAAGAGCAATCCGGTGATCCACCCCTGACAGTTCATCGCGATAAGATCTGCTCGTCGGCAACGAGTCGGCTCCATTCGTATTCTGTTTGCTTTCTGGATCCTACGACATCGCAAGCCCATTGTACTCCCAGTGATGCGAAAGAATATTACCATCTGCTTATTACCGGTAATCTTCCTTCAATGGTATCGAATTTCCATGAGCTTGTCGGAATAGCGAATCTCGTCAACAAACAATCCGTTCAAAATGTATTTTGCACTTTTTGAGACCTACAGGAACGATTTAGAACATTCAATTTTGTAAACATAAGAAAAAGTTATTTAAAAATATATTCAAAAAATTCAAAAACAAATCTTTTTAGATTTTTCTATTTTGTGAAGAAATTTAAAAATGTATATGTACCTTTATCGCCAAAAGAAGAAAGTGAATATATCGTAATTAATTTGTAAAAATTACGCAATTTAGATATTTCGTAAATAAGCGTACATATTCATGATTTAAATTCTTGAAACTTTCGAAAATTTTAGAAATTTTAGGTAGTGCAATCTCTTTGCTGATTATATTTCCCTAATACTTTGTTTACCTTTTATCTTCTTAATTTTTGTTATTCGAAATTTTTCATTCTCGGAATTGTAATTTCGTTAAATTTGAAAAATTTTTAGAGTTTTAGATAATTTAACTTTCTAGCCGATTATAGTTTCTTAATGTAATTCCATTGTTCATATTATCGATTTTAAAGAATTTAGATTTTTGCGTTAAAATCTCCAACCTCTCCAATCTTAAAATTCTTGGAATTACTGATTTCTAGAATTTTCATTAATTTATAAGATATGAAAATAATTGTGAAGGAATATGCTTTACAAGTGATTTGTATCATTAATTCAAGTTTCATCATATTTTTACATGTACCTATATTAAATTATTGACTTATATCTATTTTGTTGAAGTATATATAAAAATTAACAAATTATTGATGAATTGTCAAGCAATTCTAAGTTTCTTTTTCTCTTTGATTAAATAATTACTGCATGACTACTGTTTCGGGATGGATTCAGAAAATCGGGAGTGGAGGAGGGGCAAAGAGCCAATATAGTGACCGTATACTTTTAAAGTTTATACCGAGCTTTAATTTCACAATGTTACGTCGAGCCGGGCGGTTTGTTTTACAAACTTCGATTCGGAAGCGCGTCGCGGAGGCGCGGGAATGCATTAGATAAAGTTGCAAGCAATACCCTAGAAATAGAGGCATTAAAGGACAACTTATTACAAGGTACTTCCTATATAATTTTATTTGGTTAATTTTTACATAGTTGCTTTACCGAGATTCGTAATTTATTACATATCCC